CCTCTGCGCCTGTCTGTACCTTATTTCGCGAGTTTCTGTACTTCAGCGAGCCCGTTGCCATGATGCATGATGCGGTGGGTGTAGATCGTAGAGCACGTCAGGTGGCCTTGCTTTGATATGCATAACGGTAAAGGGCAAGCACAAGCAAGGTATTGGGCAAAGACGGCAGCCATCTTCGGTACGGAAGCTGCGCTTCCTTTTTGCACCTTGGTATGAGGTGTCGCCAAACGGAGGTGGAAGGACCAAAGGAAGGAGGGAGGGCCTTTCCTTCTTCAACAATGGAAGTTAATAATCAATCGCACTTACCTGTGGCCCGAGTGGGCAGGTAGGTATTCGGTTCGTACGGAGTACCTTACCTTACCTTCTGTTGGCTGGAAGTTGGAATGGGAAGCAGCAGTTTCCAATTCTCAATCATCCTAAAACCCAACAGCCCTGTCACAGGTCATTCCCGTTTCCACTGCCACTTCCTTCTCGTTCTTATTCCTGGTTGAGAGTACAGTTCCTGCAGCAATAAGAATCGCCCAGAATAGCCCAGCCCATCAAACTAAGGTACTTTAAGCCCCAAAGGCATTCCCGGGCGGGATGGGAGGAACTTGAGAGGTAAGGTAGCACGGTAGGAAGCGCAACAGCCTCTTCCCTCAGGCTTCAGGCTTCAGGTATCGCTCATCACTGCCCGTCTTAGCAAGAGCTATTCTAGCGGCATCGTCGACTCAGGTTTCTTCTGAGCTGTCTTGGACCTAACGGAGCTCTTCCCATGCCCGGGGCCTTTACTAAGGCCCTGAGCACTAACCTAGTTGCCTTCCTAGGCAGTCAGAGACTCAGAGGGAACAATACTTCGTAGTCCATACGAGGTATCCGCACGCTGCCCCGGACTGAGGTGCGTTTCTCGTTACTCCATTCCATTTTCTTATTAGCGGATGGCCAGAAGACCTAACTTTAGCAACAATGTCGCGGCACTAACACGGGCGAAGACCCAGGCTAGAACACGCTGCGCCAGAAATTTGGACCGTTCATCGAGCGATCAACGCCTGGCGCGACCACACAACTCTGTTCTTGTTTTCTCCAACCCCTTCTCTCGACTCTGTGTGGCTCTCTTCCCCGCCGTTTCTCGGCCTACTTTACCTTACCAAGACGGCCGGGCGCTGTTATTATGCACATGCCACAAACAACTGGCCGCTTGGTTGCTGTGCAAAATATTATTGTGCGACGATTGTCCATGATGAAGATTACTGGTGATGTTGTAGGTCCACCGTTCAGTACCTACTACCCTGCTCAACCGTCGACGCTAACGGATGCCAGCTCCAGATTTACGGAGCTGCTACGGAGCATCCTCCATCAACGAGACATGGCGATGTGTCGTCTTGATCGTCGGTCCCGTCCACTCGCGAATCACTCGTCAACGGGAGAACCACAATGGAACGCACCCTTGGGTCTTTGACCGTTTAATCTGGATGCTTGAAGGGTTGAGCAGCAACTTCCCAGCAAGCAGCCCCATCAACAGCAACGGAACGGACGCCAAAATAACCAATTCCCCCCAAGAAACGGAGCCACATGCCACGGAGCGACGGTCCAGAACAACATAAACAATCAAAGTAGAAACCAATAGGTCGCATATGACGAATCGACGATGGCCTCACGGACAACAGCATCCCCTCTCATATCCGCTGCAAGCCTGTCAGCATCATTTATTTTCTTCCCAATTTTTTCTCGAATCCCACATGGCACATGTCCCGCCTGCGGCCTGCCCTCCTTTTTCCTCCACTCCGAGCGGGCTCTAATTATTTCGCTTCCCGCTCTCTGCAGCGTGATGCCCCTGGATTGGGAAGTCATCCCCGCGTTTCATTGGCTCGTCCCATGACCCAACAGAGTACGAAGCATCGTCGGAAAACCTTCTTTTGAACTTTTGAATTGCTTTCCCGCCTACTTTGGTACTCGATAGTACCTATCCATACCTTACTTGGTACACACAGTAGGTAAGACCTGTGCCATTTGGGGACCGCGCTCATTACGACCTTCTTCCTATGGATACATACAACCTTATTAGTGCGACGTTGCAACATGCAGTGCCGCTGCAATTGCCAATAGCCTACCTATGGAGCATGGTCCGGGACCCTTCTTTTTGTTTCCCCGGCAAGATTGAAGAAGGAAGACTGCCCAAGACGGTAGACGTCGAGTAGTCGAAAATTTCTCTGCCAACATATGACCTGCATGGACTGCCAATTCAAGGACGGGAAATTTACAAAACTCAACCTTCTTTCGGCTGGGGAAATTACACGGCGGCTCACTCCCACGTCGATCCTGGAGGCCGCGTCAACAAACACACAGCGCACCCGTGACGATGCACCAATTACCGAGCACATTTCAGTTGACGGCGGCCTTTGCAAAATATACGAAGAATACGCAATGATGCGCGGTCCCTTCATTGCCAGCCGCGGTCTCTGGAGTCTGGAGTAGCAACACCTCCCATCTCCAATGCGGCCCTATCCGTTCTCCTCCTTCACAACCCAACGTCATTGGCAACATCTAGCAACCCTCCGGCGTACAGTATCCGTACAACACCGTGTATATCAACCTGTCAGGTCGTTTCAGTCTGCGGCCATCATCCCTCCTGTCGGTGCCTCTGCTGTTCGTTCATTCGTTGCACTTTGGGGGCTCTCAGATGAACCCATTTTAACCGTTCATGTGGTTGCGACCAATGATGGGACGTGAAGACGCCCCCAACTTGCAGCTTCCGCCATGTGAGTAAAAGAACCATTCCTTTTTCGAAGGGCCGTTCTTCCCCTCTTCCCACGCAACACTGTGGTACGAATGCATATCTGGGACGCAGCTCCTGCGGTGCAATCACTGCGGACTCGGATGTTCTGCCCATTGAACATTCTCTGACAGGAAAAAAAACTCCCCCTTCCCCCAGTTTCTTTTTCCTTCTTCTCCGTCCTCCTCCACAATCCCCTGCATGCAAAGTGCAAAAGATTCAGGAACGACGTTACCCTCCCGATGGGCTTCTAGCTTCTGTGAGACAAGTGGCTTGTTTCGCGGCCGACTCAGATGCACGAATGGGGCCACCCACAGAGCACCACATTTATTGGACACTTTTTTTTTTTTTTGCCTTTATACGAGAATCAATTGATCGCGTGGCTCGTGTAACCGTACGCATCGAACACGACTGCGATGCGGCGGGTGGTGTTGAAGTGGCGATCCAATTACTAGCGATGAAGGTCTTCCAAATCGTATAGGGAGGTCTAGAACTTCACTGCAATTCCCGTCCAAGGTTGTTCAGTGCCATCTCGTCCCATCTTTTTTGCTCTGCATCTGCCAACTCCCACCACTTCGGCCAAGGTGCACCAAGCCACGCATTTTGACAGGATGGACCCTGGTTAACTCTTTTCGATTCCCCCCAAATCCTTGGCGGCATGAAGTTCCTCTTTGTCTGGTGTGCCTGGTCACTGTGGCGCGCATAGTGATAACTGCCACAGAAAACATGATATCACCCTTCTTGAGTGCAGCATATAAGTGGGAGCGGCGGCGAATAAGAAGTTTGAGGGTTACCTACTGCGTAGGTGAAGATGTCGCTATTGTTGGTCCCCGACATGTAACGTTATGCATAAGAGGCGAGGAAGACAAAACTCAATGCACATTCTTTCTTGATCCCGCCGGATCGGCCTCACCAACTTTGCTGCCCGTCGTGGTGTGTGTGTGCGTGTAGTTCCCCAGCATTCTACGCAAAGCAAAAAGTGTTTACACCCCCGTACGGGTGGATACCTGTCTTGAGGTATTCGCCATGTCCTATCAGTAGAAAACCTGTTCTGTACCTTACATTACTCTGGAGGCATCTTGAAACCTCAAAAGTTCTCCAATCGCCCTATAAGGCATCTTATCTTTGCCCATTTTTAGAGTTGCTCGTCCAGTATCAGATACATCACCCTGCACTGCACTGCAAAAAGCTTTCCGTCCAGGTCTTTTTTTTTCTCCCTTGTCTCTTTTTCTTACCTCTTACTTCTTTGCAAAGAGTATTAAGCCAGACGCCGTTTTAGACGGGTGGGCATGACAACCTGCGACCGTTTACAAAGAAGTTATCGTTGTTTTTTTGGTGGGTTTTTGGGGCAATTTGTTTTACAGAGCTGAAGCTCGTGGCAAAATGGGCTATAATTGTCCTCCTCTGCCCTGTCACTGCTGTCAGGTAACCTTTAACGTCGCATTTTCCACGAGCCGCAGCAAAAAGTTGGCAGCCATTGTTGGCCAGGTGGTCTCGTCACTGTCGTCAACTTTTGCCTCCCAACCACAAACAGACAGGAAATAAAGTTTTTTCAGCTCCAACGCATATTCAGCTCCGTTGTTTTTGAGTGCAAAGTGTGGTATATTTAGACTTGGCCCTTTTTTTTCTGTCCTCGTGATCTGCCTCGTCCGCACTCTAGAAGCAAAAAAAAAAAAACTTGGGTTGCTAGAAGACACAAAAAACACCTATCGGCCCCGCCATTTTGCTGCGTATCGGCCCCCGGTTTTCCTGGACAGGAGGCGCAGCTGCGAAAAATACGCCATCCATCGTTCAACGCCACCTTCCGACCTCCCCACACGCCCGTAGTTTCTTGGGCCTACCGAGGCTCAGATGCCCAGGTAATCGGTCAATGTTGTTTGTGGTGATGCCGGTGAGTAAAGTAGAGTAGTTGGTTGTTGGAGGGGCAATTATCTGGTAAAGACCCCATTGACAACGGTCCCGTTGAGCCCCTCAACTGGCCCCTCTGAGGGTAACTTTCCTCTCTAAGAATAGCTTCGTATGAGCCTCTTTGCCCACGAAGCAACACCATCAGTAAGGTTCCGCTTCGGTTGATATGAGCCACGAGAGCTGTCAACGTGGAAACCCACGTGTTCCTAATCCCGAGTCGTTGTCACCGGCCAGAGTGATGTGTCCGCCCAAGAATAAGATTCTTGAATTGTGCTAGTCAACGTCAAGCTCGTATGTTGGACACCATAGCTTGCGCATACGCAGACCAAGTATAGCATGCTCATCGCCTCTGTCCACCAAAGCTTGCACGGAGCGCCAGGATCTGCTGTCTCTCTGCCTCGGGGAGCATGTTAATCGTCTCCATCGGCAGTTCCATAACCTGCCGCATGAGCGCGTCGGGATCTTGGCCCAGGGGTGCGGCGACTGGCGGAGGTGCGCCATAGGGAGCTTGCTGCGGGGGAGGCGCGTACGGCGTGCCGGCAACCGGCGGGGTGTTGTTAGCTCCCATCACGGGAACCGGAGGGAAGCCAGGGGTGGGCTGCGGTGGGTAGCCGATCGGCGCGGCCTGCGCTGGAGGCGCGACGGGTGCGCCGCCGGGCTCGATGACGGAGTGGATCGCCTCGGGGGACACCAGACCCATGAGTAGGAGGGCCTGAAAGACGGCGTAGGCCAGCTGCGGTGCCTGTTGGAGAAGTTCGGTCGCCCTAGCGGGATCTGTAGAGGCCAATGCCTTCATCTGTGTGAGGATATCGAGGAGCTGAGAAGGAGGGAGGGTGTTGAGAGTGCGCGAGATGGCGTCGGTTGCTGTGACGTTCGGGGGAAGCTCCTTGCCGGCTGGAAGAGGAGGCAGCGTACTCGACTGCATCGGCGGCGCGACCGGGTTGTATCCATTCGAGGCATGGGAGGGGTTGCCGCCATCTCGGCCCTGCTTCTATTGTCAGACTCCGACTTCAAAAACAGGTCTGCATCTCTAGACGTACGTGTCCGTGGCTGTCATTGTTGTCGTCACTGCCGCCTTCGTTGGAAAAGGCGACTCTAAGTTTCCTTCCCATAATCTCATAGTCGTTGAGGTTGCGGACAGCCGATGCTGCGGAATCTGCACCGCATGGTCAGTCGAGTTCATTTTCGGAAGACAATTAGAGTGCTCCTGAGAATTACCATTGTCGGGATATTCTGCGAAACCGAAACCCTTAGGCCGTCCGGTTTCACGGTCGTAGACTAGGCGGAAGTTGAGGACCTTGCCGGCGCTGCTGAAGATGTCGCTGATCTGCTCCTCGGACAGGCCTGAAGCCGTTGATTAGAAAAGTATGGAGTGATTGGGAATTGGTTCCTACCATAAGGGATGTTGCCCACAAAGACAACTCTAGAAGGCGGTTTCGACATCGCGATAAGAAGGCTCGATAGTCGGAACGCAAGACTCGCTCAGTACACGCTCGCCAGGGCGGTCAAAGGAATGGTGCGTGTCGCGTTCGTGGGGAAATTTGAAGTCTCGTCTTTTTTCGGTGTGAATTTCTCGAATTAAGATGTCGCGGGTATCAATGTGATTTGGTCGTAGGGCGGCGCAACGTTGATGGTTTGCTCGAGGTTGTCTCCAGCCTTGACTACCAGGCTGGGATTTTACGGTGGGGACGGGAACCGCGCAGCTTAAGCACGAGCCATCTGATTCTGGATTGCTTCTAGTGGTCTAACGGCATCTTCCATTGGCCAACGGCCGACAATTACCCAGGGACCCGGACCCACCCGCCCCGTGCGAGACCCCTGACAAGATGCACCTTTAGCGCAATTGAGAGCTGGAACCGTGGACGGGCTGCGTGGCCAGAAAACGAGTGAAGGTGGCCTCTACTTTACTTTGGATTTGCGCAACTCCCAAGGCTTTGTGAGATCCAATCCTCCTACCTTGCTTTCCAACTCGACTTCCTCGCGTCGACCCTTCTCTTCTCATGGTTCAGGCGGGGTTTCTCACTTCCTGATATCACCTTTTACCTCTCCGCCACTCCTTTTAGCGTTTTCCTGCTTGGCGCATTATTGCGAAAGTACGACTTTTGGCTTACCCCCGTTGATTCTTCCCATAACGCCTACGAGGCTACCGCAAACTCGTGACAGAGATCGATAGCGCTTGATACCACACTCTTCCTCTCGAATTCACCATGCCGGCAAAATCGAGATTTACAAGGCTCGACGCCTTCACAAAGACAGTCGACGAAGCACGTATCCGCACAACATCTGGTGGAATTGTCACCATCGTGTCGCTGATCGTGGTCTTCTGGCTGGCCTGGGGAGAATGGGTTGACTACCGGAGGATAGAGATCCACCCCGAGTTGATCGTGGACAAGGGAAGAGGTATGAAGTCCTGGCAGTCTCTCTTGATCTGTATAGGCAGTGGGAGCTAATGTGTACTCTGTAACAGGCGAGCGCATGGAGATCCATCTCAACATGACTTTTCCCAAGATGCCTTGCGAACTCCTCACCCTGGATGTCATGGATGTTTCTGGCGAGCAACAGCACGGCGTTCAGCACGGTATTAACAAGGTTCGCCTTCGTCCCCAGAAGGAGGGTGGTGGTGTCATTGATATCAAGGCCCTGGATCTGTAAGTTGCTACAAACGTCGCCTTCTGCCGGGAAGCTTTTTCTAACACCTTCCGTCAGTCACTCTCGCGACGAGGCCGCTGAGCACCTGGACCCCAACTACTGCGGCCCCTGCTATGGCGCCCCGTCACCGGCGAACGCGCAAAAGGCTGGATGCTGCAATACCTGCGAGGAAGTAAGAGAGGCGTACGCACAGGCTTCGTGGGCTTTCGGTAAGGGCGAGAACGTTGAGCAGTGCACGCGCGAGCACTACGCCGAGCGATTGGAGGAGCAGCGCCAGGAGGGCTGCCGCATTGAGGGTAACCTGCGCGTCAACAAGGTCGTCGGAAACTTCCACCTTGCCCCTGGTCGCAGCTTCAGCAACGGAAACATGCACGTCCACGACCTCAAGAACTACTGGGACACCCCCTCCGACGCCCAGCACGACTTCACCCACACCGTTCACTCCCTGCGCTTCGGTCCTCAGCTGCCCGACACCGTCACCAAGAAGATGGGCAAGCGCGCCGCTGCGTGGACGAACCACCACGGCAACCCTCTCGATAACACCCACCAGGAGACCAATGACCCCAACTACAACTTTATGTACTTTGTTAAGATCGTGCCTACCTCGTACCTCGCTCTCAATTGGCAGAAGGGCTCCAGCCCCGAGGAGGAGAACTCTGGCCTCGGTCTTCTTGGCCAGGGAAGCGATGGCAGCGTCGAGACTCACCAGTACTCCGTCACGAGCCACAAGCGCAGCTTGGCTGGCGGCGATGACTCTGCTGAGGGACACCAGGAGCGTCTTCATTCTCGCGGCGGTATCCCAGGAGTCTTCTTCTCCTACGTAAGTTCCTCCTTACCCTGTCTCCAACTACCATCACTCACGTAGTTTGTCCAGGATATCTCTCCCATGAAGGTTATCAACCGCGAAGAGCGCGCCAAGACCTTCACCGGTTTTTTGACCGGCCTTTGTGCCATCATTGGCGGCACTCTCACTGTTGCCGCCGCCGTTGACCGTGGTGTCTTCGAGGGTGGACTGCGTCTCAAGAAGATGCGCTCCAAGGATATGTAGATCAGAGAGATGGAAGACCCAGGGTTGTAAGTAGTCAATATGTGGTGGAATTATCTCGTACGCTGTGCATCAAAAGTGGAGTTTGGGTGGCTTGGTAAAGAGGGCTTCATCGTTTCAATCAATACATAAATATCAAATGTGCCTTTGGCGTCCATGCATCCCCGAGTCTCCCTTCACGTGCCATGTTTATCTATATGTGTATCTTCTACTAGTCAACGCAGCCTTTCTGGTACAAGAAGGATTCCTCAGACAATCCTAACCCATTCAAAGGGGGTTGTAATGTTGGCTCGTATTGAACGCTGTTTCTACAAAACCACGTATGTCGGTGGCTTTAGGTCTGTTACATGGATCTGCACGGAAACAAACATACTTGAGTTGGTCGTCTGTCAAGCAGACCTGTTCGCATTTGGTGGAACGCGTCTTGTGATGCGGGAATGTTGAAGCTTCCGTGACGTTAAAACACCCAAAAAGTGCGTGCGTTTTCCCGTACTACTGTCTCTGGGTCTACATCATGGGCTATTAGAGGTGCCATACTTACGATCCAATGTCTAAGCCGATAGAGCTCAAAGTCTGACCTGTCGACGGGCATCTACACTTCAACTGTGTGCGCCAGAGACAATGACGAGGAAGCATTTCACAAAAGACGCTGAGACAGAGATATCACTCGCTGCCTATCAGAACAATCTATCTAGAAAAAGGAAAGGGGTAGGGAGCATCAAGCGGTATTAAAGCCAGAGAAGTAAATAGAGTTCACCCCCCAGTGGCGAATGGGGGCTACATCTCTTGGTGCTCATGCTGGGAATCGATCTTGTGACCTAGTGAAGACGAGCCTGCCGCCGGGAGGCTCGCCCTTGACCACTCCGCTAAACGGCATCTTGACCTGACCTCACAAGCCTGTGTGGCGCCTGCTGCCGTTGGTGACGGAATTGGGCTTGAGGGGGCCTGTATAGGCTTCCCGGTGTATATTCAGTCCCGTATGTTCGTGGCTCGGATGAGAGTATACGAGAAGTCGAATAGCCCCGACGGAGAGAGGGACCTACGTGAGTTATTGACTATCTCTTTAATATAAACTTGCGATGAGCTAGAACATCATCTAGGCACGATCGTTTATACGTTCCGAAGTAGTCCCATCTTTGCATTGAGAAAGACATCCGGACTATCTCTGTACCACGAAAGCAAATTTAGTTCTCTTCTAATGTTATTCAACATATGTCTTTTCATATTTTAGTCCCTCTTTTGCCTTGTAAGCTTTCAAAAGCCTTGGATTCCACGTAGTTCAAGTTAATATTGTGACTACTAAAATCATTACTGACATTCCTAATTTTGTTTCACATTTAATACATTCATCATTATTTCAGTGGACTCTACGATATTGGTAATGAAGATAGTAAGTTGAATAATCGTAGCAAGAATGTTAGTTGCAATTTCAAAGGGGGTGGAGGCTGTCCTTTCACAGCCCAGTCCAACAAGTCAGGTCAGCAAATATCGTCTCATAACCGTAACCTAAGTTCTGGTTCTATGGCTATTCAACGACCACTGTACGATGGCATCCCTTTCCCGAATCATCATGAACACACATGGCGACCCAACAGTGCACAGCTAGAATGCGATGAGCATGTCATTATTGTGACGTACGCAGGTGGGTGATAAAAATATCATGCCGGGTCAGCGCATAAGTGTTCGTTCTCAGGTCAAGCCTCACTGTACCAGGCACGGCTCATCCAGCTCAGATTCCGCCCTTGCTCAATTTCTGCACAGATTCTTTCTCGTTTCAAGCTCAATTGTAATACGATGATAGTCACAACATGCTGGCTCACGATTGTAGACACCACGCGATACCTTGGATTGCTATGTCTGAAGATTTGGAGCACACGAGAGAGATGAAGCAGTTGCAGCATGTTAAGTCGTCATTTTGATACCCAAGCCGCGTACTGCTTTATACCACGCAATAAGTTCTGAAGAAAATAGCCCCATTCTTTCACGAAACCATCTGTGTACAACACCTCAACTCCACGACTAGTCTGAGTGACAAGAGAAGGCAACAAGTGGAAGCAAACATATTATCCTACACTGGTTTCCGATGAAAGCTACGAGGGAGACATTGCAGCGCCTTTTGTAACGAGAAACTCATCCAAGGCTGTAGCTTGTGAGGGTGTGTACCCGTTCCCATTATTTGAAGCCGGTATGGGAGTTTCTGTTACCAAGCAGACCGTGTTCTGTAAACATGATTAGCCACTTACACCTTTCAATGGCGAGAGACAAAATCTCGCCGGGTGAGCGACAGAGCGCGCTACGTAACTTACCATTCCTAGAACTGCGGCATCCAGCCGATCAAACATCCTCCACAAACGATCGGAATTCTTCGTAAAGACGTACCCAGCCAAGCCGACGGGTGTGTCGTTCGCCCTCATCACAACCTCGTCTTCCGTGTCAAACACGTAGAGGCCCAACACGGGGGCAAAGACTTCCTCGCGACACATCAACATCGAGTCCGTCATACTACCCAACACAGTCGGCGCCATGAAGTACCCGTCACCAGGCTCTCTTCTGCCCGTGCCGAGAAGCTTGACAGCCCCCTTCTCCGTCGCATCTTTGCATAGCGCCTCGGCCTTGTACAGCCCGCGAATCGTCGTCAACGGACCCAGCGTCGTATCCTTAACCATCCCATGCCCGACCTTGAGCTTCGACGCCTCCGCCACCAGCAGCGTGGAAAACACATCATAGACCCGCCGCTGCACGTAACACCGGTTCGGCGCGACGCAGGCCTGCCCCGCATGTCGCCACTTCAGCGCCGCGAGGTCCTTGGCCACCTGACCGAGGTCCGCGTCATCGAACACGACGGCCGGGCAGTTGCCGCCCAGGTCGAGCGACAGACGCTTCAGATTCCGCGTGCACGAGGCGGCGACCCGCTTCCCGACGCGTGCGCTGCCCGTGAAGCTTACGGCCTTGACGAGCGGGTGCATGCACAGCGCCTCGGATACCACCGGCGTGTTCCCTAGACTCGTCGTCAGGACGTTGAGGGCGCCGGCGGGGAAGCCCGCGCGGTCGGCGAGGCAGGCGAGGGCGAGGGCCGTTAGCGGGGTCTCGGAGGACGGTTTGACGATGACGGTGCAGCCGGCTGCTAAGGCTGCCGCGGTTTTGCGGAGGGTGAGGGCGAGGGGGAAGCTCCATGGCACCAGGGCGAGAACGACGCCGATGGGCTGCTTGAGGAGCGCGCCGCGCTTTCTGGGGAACACGCCGACTGCGGGTGTCGAAGCGGGGACGGCGCCGTCGTCGTCGGATGTGGGGGAGGAGACGCGGGATGCGGCCGGGGACGGTAATTGTGGAGTTGTTGGTGGCAGCGGAGGCGGCGGCTCCAATCGGTCTGCTTCGCCGGCGAACCAGCGGACGAGACCAGCGCCGTAATCTACTTCGGCGAGAGCCTCGGTTAACGGTTTCCCCGTCTCGTGAACGAGGATGGTGGCCAGGTCGAGGCGGCTAGCGAGAATGAGATGGTGCCAGGAGGTGAGGAGGCGAGCGCGCTCGTGGGCGGGGGTGTGCTTGGAGAAGCCCTGGAAGGCGACGTAGGCGGATTTGACTGCGGGATTGACGTCGTCTCTGGCGCTGTCCGGACACGTCGCCCACACGCGACCGGAGCCCGGGTCGAGGACCGCGAAGCGCTTGTTACTGAGGGAGGAGACCCATTCGCCGTGGATGTGGCAGTCGCGGCGGAGCAGGTCCACGTCTGTCAGTCTGAACGGGAGCGGGAACGACGGCGAGATGGGGGTGAGGCTGTGAATAACGAGGCTGTTCTTGTGGCTCTTGGCCGTCGAGGTGCCGGAGGACGAGGTGCTGGCTGTCGTAATGGTGCTCGCGACGGGGGATGTTACCGCGCTGATCATTGTTGGTGAGAATGAGACCCTTCGTCGATGGGAGGAGTAGTCTTCCCGACCGGGCTGGGCAACTGAATGCCTCCGCATCGGACGCCCTAGGAGATGAGGGATGAGTGGATTTGGCAACGCTTACACATACACAAACACGATATGGTGTCGAGAAAACCGGGTAGACTTGGGACCCAAGGAAGGGGAACGCAACACCTACCGGGCTGCTGGTAATATTAGCAAAGCTGACGAGGCGCCCGTCCAGGTCCTGGGTGATTCGGGAGACGGCGGAGAATTTCTCCCCTCTCCTCACGGCGTGGCATCGGTGCCCGACTGTTGCATAGTGGTAGACTTCGGGGGAAGGGATCCGAGGTCGAATGAGATCTGCGAGGCCGGGAACACACATGTTTTAAGCTCTGCCCCTAGGCGTCATCTGAAGCTTGATGTCGGTGTTGTTGCAAAGCCTCCCATAATAACCTACCCCTGGCTTCGAGTAAGCGGCCCAAGCTCCGTGCTTGCGGCTGTCCTTTCCCCCCCTCCCCCTTCTTCCTTTCTTGTCCGAGACCGAGACGAGCGGGCCGCCCCGGATTTGCAGCTTTCAATCCATCTATGGCAAGTGGCAAGTAACAGGGACGTAGTTGGATATGTTTGCTCGGACTCATGATGAAGAGAAGGATGGAGTTCATCTGAGCTCGAGTAGAGACGCGGTTGACAAGTAATGCGGTCCTGCGGAACTTGAGGGGAAAACCGTTCAGGGAAAAAAATGACAAGATTCGGATGATAGGAGCAGAGCTGTGCGCTCACGAACTGAGTACTAGCGGGAGTTAATAATCCGGGGTTGACGGAAACGAGCCACATGAGCCAGAGAAGCGTAGTATTTATTGAAAACTTTGAAGAGTGTGTGTCCCACCGGCAGTATTCTTTTCTAACACTTTCTCAAACAAGAGAACAGATGTTTGCTACGACGTCTAGTAATAGGACGTGCTTGCGCTCCTGTAATCCGGTCTGGATTCAGGATATCCTCCAGGTGGCCCAGAGACGCCTTTGCCTTCGTCATCCGAGCTCAGGGCCTCTCCGTAATCGTCACTTCTCTCAGGCGGTGCGCGCATGGCTTCCAAGATGCTACGATCCAACACTGGCGGCTGATACGGCTTGATGATGTGTATCTCACGGCCAGATGGCATCTGAGCCAGCAAGGGCCCAATCGGAGGCACGATCTGGACGTTCATCTATGCATGAATTGTGAGCCTCCCAGTCTTTATCAACCTTGGACGTAACGTGGCTTACCGTGTCATTGAGCTTATGCCACTTCCCTTCAAGTAGCTCGATCACTCTCGTCTCCTCGCCCTTTCCGCCATCCGCACCCCACGTTGTCTCCTTTTCGACCTTGCGATCCTCACGTTTCTCGCTCCACTCCTTTTTGAACCGGCTGAAGCCAGTACCTTTGGCTGAGTGTTTGGACTCAACGCCCAGTTCTTGGAGCCCGGCCTGCAGCCACGCGATGGCCGTGCCAACTTGGCCGCTAATCTCTGAATCTATGCCAAAGAAACGACATGCCTTTGCGCGGCACGTTCTTCGTAGGTCCTCGAGATAACGGAGCAACCCTTCGTTGATCTTACTGGAACCCCGCCCCGCAGCTTGGCAAAGAGAGGAGGCTTGGGCGGCGTGCTCCGCGGCAGCGAGACAGAGTCGCGCAAATAGATGGGCACGAACTTTTGGAATCTCGGGGGCTTTGAACATCCACTCGCGGTCGTTCTTATTGCGGTCTTGGGCGACGATGGCAGGGTAAGGGTCGTCCTTGAGAACCGCCAAGAGTGTCGCCTCAGCGAGAGCCAAGGACGACAAAGCTCGAAGAGTCGAGGGTGATACATCGCTGCAGGGTGGCGGGATCTGAGTTCTTTCAGCCCGGGAAGCTATGTAGTCGTATATTGACGCGGCATCCAAGAGGTATTTGGTCGCTGTTTGGATGGAAGCTATGCGCTGCTGGTTGTCCAACGTGGCTTGTGTTGTGACGTATAGCGGGTGAAGGGCTGCTCGAGCAACCAGAGTGTATGAGTTTGCTAGAGATGAAAGAGCGAATGCAATTTCATGATCCATAGACTGCAACTTGACCCTTGACCGCTCCCTGCCAGGCACTGCATTCTCCGAAAGCGTTGGCCGCCATTCAATGGACGGCGGCGCCTTGGTGTTTAGGTTGATCCAGTCGCCAGACTGAGATGTCGGGTTTAGTCCAGCATCGATGGCGAGAATGTAGGGGATGTAGCCGTTGAGAGCTCCAATGACCGTCGAAACGTGGGATGATTGCGATGACGGGGGTAGTCTCTTGTGTTTCTTGAGAGCATCTCTCACAACCCCGCGATATGTGCTGGAACTGAGGGGCAATGAGGGGTGAGTGTCGCTACTGAAACTGGATGAGAATGAGAAGGCCGAAGTTGTCGGAAGGATGAATGGGAAAGGCATGTTGGGGAGGGGTCGATTATCAGCCGGTAAAAGAGCAAAAAAAGAGCAAGATATGGTAAGAATGTGGATGAGATTCAGTGATCATCCACTCACTAACATGAAAAGCTGCTAGAGGAATTGTACCTCGCTGTGACGTTAGTTGTCCCGGATTACCTAAATAAGTCAATTGAGGCTAACGGACCTTAGTCTCTCAACCCCAGACTCGGTCACGTGTTGGAGACCAGCATTCCCCGGTTGCGATGCAGAGGACCGAGAGCTAAGCTACTACAACCCATTGCTGAAGCTCGAATTTGAAATGTCAGAACTTGAAGTCTTGTCACGTTATGTTCGACATAGGAAGCCATTGGCCCTTGAGGTTGAGATACAAGCTCTCAGTCATACAGGGTCAGGGTTGCATCTAATTGTATCACACAGGCAAATAGCCACTAACCTGATGTAATACCTCAAGTCACAGAGGATGCTCATCAAGATTCCACTCTTTACATTTTTTAGTGGAAGAGTAAGATAACAAGCAAGAAAAACCAAATGTTGTCTTGTCAATTACATTAGCTCAATTGTCACTGTTTCTTCGAAGAATTCATGGAATGCCTGGGACAAGGAAACGGCCAGCGGCAGGAAGGTAAGTACCTGGCGATCCGAACCTGCCCTCATTAGCGGCCCGGGATGTGGGGACCTTACAGGTTGATGCACCAGCTGTCGGGTTCGTTAACGCGACGTGGACCCTTGAATTTCAGCATCAACGAACCTCCCACTATCACCGCGACCTTGACAAAGCCAATTCGCCGTACTCAGGCAACTCTTCACACCCTCCTGGCACCTCATGCCGCACATTGCGAACCGATTGAATACCGACTGAGCTGCGACTATGATCAGTCCATCTCCCCATAAACCCCGGCGCAGGGGCGGCAAGAAGACCAACGGTGGAAATGGTGTCGGCAGCAGTGTAGCCACCGTGGAAAGCCACCTCACCAAGAGGGAGGCTCTGGTCAAGGCTCCGATCTTCCCTCTGGCCTCTTTTTTGTGGCCTGCTCGAGGCTCCGTATCGCAATGGGAGGTCCTTCCCCTGATCCTCATGGTGGTTGGCCTATTCAGATGGGCAGCTGGCCTCTGGGGATACTCTGGTAAGTGCGCTCTGGAACACCGTTGAGAAGTGATAGCTCTTGCTAACCATGCCACTCTTCTTAGGTTTCCAAAGACCACCCATGTTCGGAGACTACGAGGCGCAAAGACACTGGATGGAGATCACAACACAAATTCCCGTCTCGCAGTGGTACTTCCACGACCTGCAGTGGTGGGGTCTCGACTACCCGCCCCTGACGGCCTACCATAGCTGGCTCTGCGGCAAGGTTGGCGCTCTCATCGACCCTACTTGGTTCGAGCTGTACACCTCACGAGGATCCGACGACCCGACTCTGAAGATATTTATGCGCGCCACAGTCATTGTCTCTGAGTACCTCATATACATCCCCGCCGCCGTCATCTTCGTCCGACGCTTCTCCAGACACAGCAATGTGCCGACATGGACCGCTTGGATGGCGCTCGTCGCAATCTTGATGCAGCCTGCTACGATTCTCATCGACCATGTTCACTTTCAGTACAACACTGTCATGCTCGGGCTCGTCCTGGCGAGCATGTCGAGTATGCTGGCTGGCCGCTATCTCTGGTCTGCCGTCTTCTTTGTCGCGGCCCTTGGCTTCAAGCAGATGGCTCTCTATTACGCCTTCTCCGTCTTCGCGTTCCTCCTGGGCAGCTGCGTCTTTCCTCTGAAGCCGGGTCGTTTCATCGGCATTGCGCTGGTGACCGTCGCGGCTTTCGCACTTCTACTCCTGCCGCTCGTGTTGGGCACCCTCTACGATGCTCATCGAGGCATCGATGCGCGGCCTGACTATGAGGGGCCACCGCCTGCCTTGCCCCTTTTCCCGTGGCTGACCGACGTCCTTGACACCAACGCCATCTACTACCCGGTCGTTGAGCAATTGGTGCAGATGGTTCATCGCATCTTCCCCTTTGCGCGCGGTCTCTTTGAAGACAAGGTCGCCAACTTTTGGTGTGCCGCCAACGTCGTCATCAAGCTTCGCAATTACCCTCCCGAGCTTCTTCAGCGAGGCGCACTCGTGGCCACGTTGGCCTCGATCGTTCCGCCTAACCTGATTCTGTTCTTCCGTCCACGCAAGTCACTTCTTCCCCTGGCCTTCGCAACAACGGGGTGGGGTTTCTTCCTCTTCAGCTACCAAGTACACGAGAAGAGTGCGCTGCTCCCTCTCATGCCCATGACCTTGCTTCTAGCCGGTAAGCACGGACTGTCGCGAGACATTCGGGCCTGGGTCGGATTTGCCAATGTCTTGGGCGTGTGGACGATGTTCCCCCTCCTTAAGCGGGTGGACCTCAGCGTCCCGTACGCTGTTCTGACTTTGCTATGGGCATACCTCCTTGGTCTTCCGCCAACATCCCTGAGTGCCTACTTCCAGGAGGATCACAGCAAAGTGCGCCAGTGGGCAACATTCCTTCTCCACGGGGCGTTCTACGTTTCTATGATTGCATGGCATGTGGTAGAGAGAGTCGTGGTGCCGCCCATCGACAAGCCCGACCTATGGGTCGTTGCAAACGTGGGTATTGGTGCGGTGGGATTCGGCATCTGCTACCTTTGGTGTCTGTTGCAATTGATTGTGCAGAGTGACATTCTGCCGACGAGAGGGGGCGCGAAGAACAAGGCAAAGAACCAGTAGATAGAAGGGTCGACTAGCAATGGTCCTGTACATGACAGATGGAAGACTCTCTTGAGGAAGAGAGCTCATGTAATAATAGCGCGGATTTCAAAAAAGAAAAGACAAATGCGCATCGGAAAAGCAATGGTTTTGATTTGATAAATTGGGGTGAATAGTACATAAAAACACTTTTAAAGGCCGAAAAGGATGCTATTCTACCACCTGGTGATGCACCTCGATATCTAGGGAGTACAGAAGGAAAACAGGGAATCTCATGATTATCGACATGGCCTTGGCCCTGACTGACTTGGTTATCTTTTAGACGCTACACGAATGATATGTCCGTCCGGATTTGGAAATCATGAAACCTGTACAAACGCCCTCTTCTTGACGGCCCGGCTCTCATCGCCATCATCCCAGTTCTCGTCAACGTAGTCTTTGACGCTCTTCTCCTGGATCTGCATGCCGACGACCTTGAGCGCGGCAATGTTGAAGCCCATTTCGTCCTTTTGGCGCTTTAGCGCGGCGCGCAGGTTGGTGCGGATGCCGTCGAGCATGACGCGCATAGTACGGCTGGCGACGATCTGGCGATGGTGCGTCTTGAGCATGAAGAAGAGGATGCGGCAGGTCAGCGGGATGTTCATGGAGCGCTGGGCAAAGACGTTGAGGAAGGTAAAGAGCATGGGCACGGTGGCGAAGGGCAGCACGAGGAGGGCGTCATGGAGGGCCGAGGCCTTGATGCGGCCCAGCACGCTCATGACGTAGGCCTCGGCTGTGATGTTGCCGAGGGCGATGAAGATGGGGTTGCGCTGGGGCGACGGCGCGTGCGGGTTCGTCTTTTTGGCGTCCTCCCATTCCTGGAGGAGGTTGAGGTCGGCGATGGCGATCTCGAGGGCCTCGGCGATGCGTTCTCCGGCCATGAGGGTCTCGACCGTCTGCTTGGAGGCGGCGCCGACCTCGCCTTCCTGGTCTTCAGCGTCTGGGTCGCGCTCGAGCGAGGTGGTGAGGGTCTTTTCGTAGAGCTCCTCGATCTCCTTTTCGCGCTCTTCTTCGAGGAAGATTTGCTCGTCCGTCTCGTCCCAGACACGGATGGACCTGTCGTGGCCCGCCGTGACGAGGAAGTTGCCCGTGTGGCCAACAGCCATGGCCCAGACCTCGCCGTGATGGCCGTCGAGGCGCTGGACCTGCTCAAACTTGTCGCCGTCCCAGTACTTGATGACGCGGTCCTTTGAGCTGCTGAAGAAGTGGTGGCCGTTGCCGTCCGAGTTGTGGGGGACGAAGGCGACCTGCAGGATGGAGTCCTGGTGGCCAAAGAGGGCCTTGTGGCAGTCGCCAAAGTCGAGGCCCCATATCCTGATGTTCTTGTCGGCGGAGCTGGTGACGATGAGCTTGCTGTCGTACGAGATATCCATGCTCAGGACCGGGAGCTTGTGGCCGTAGAGGTTGAGATAGAGCTTCAGGCTATCGGTGAAGAAGACCTTGACAGTGTTGTCGAGGAGGGAGACGGCGATGTACTTGGAATCGGGAGAGTATCTCACGCAGAGGATGTCGTCGGACACCTTGAGTGTTTTTGACTGGACGAGCTTCAGTTTTGGTGTCGTGCGGGTAGTGCCCAAAACCGGCTCTTGGACAATCTTAAAGTCCCAGAACTTGGCTGACTTATCGGCACTGCCTGATGCCACCGATCTGCCGTCGGGATGAACCTGTAGTGACCAGATGGCACCCTCGTGTGCAGAGACGCTGTCCAGAAGACTCGCAGACGCGACATCAAAAAGCTCAAGCTCTCCCGTCTTCGTGCCGACGACGACGACCTTGTCTCCGGGAAGGAACGCGCAGCAAAGAGCGTACCCGCACTCGAAAGTACGGATGCAGGCCTGCGTCTTGATGTTCCAGATCTTCAGACTTCCGTTGGCAGCCGTCGCCAACATCTTATCGTCGGAGCTGAGCGACACGGCGCGAATGTCTGTCCTGTGTCCGGGGAGTTCCACGGCCAAGGACCGCGTGTAGTCGGGCACATCCTCCTTCTTCGACTTGGAACCCTCTTTCGTGGGTATGCTGTAGTACTCGAGCTGGTTGTTTGTCGTTCCCGCCAACAAATGTACTTCCTTGCTTCCGCCCGTGACCGCCCAGTCGACCGACCGCACCTTGCCGCCCGTCCGGACAATCACGTACTGAACGAAAAAGTCGCTAGCCTCCGCGGCGGAGGTATCCTCTGCCTGGTCCTCACCCTCAGCCGCAGCATCGCCCTCCTCTTTTCCTTCCTTGCCGGCCTTCTCACGTCTTCTTCTCCTCTTTCGGGCCAGAGACTTCTTGACCTCTGCCTCCGATCTTATGCGCCACACCTCCACGGCCTTTTCTGTGCCGTGGACTGCAAAGTAGTCTCGACGGGGATGGAAGATGACCTCGATAGCCTTGTCCTTATGTTGACGGAACAGCGTTCCTCTGTCGTGCAGGAATTTCGTGTTTTGCGGAGCGTCGACCTGACCCTTCAAAGCGGCGAGTCCTGTCGTGTCCAGGAACCAGACCTTCAGCTCTCCGTCGTTTCCGGCCGTGATGCAGCCGCTGTAGTCAGGGGAAAGTCCCAATGCCCAGCATTCGCCGTTTGTCTGTGCGATGTGTGTCTCGATGCAATGCCTCGAGGACAAGTCCCATAGCTTGATCAGGGAGTCCTTGCCGGTCGTAAGTAGGTAGCCCTCCGCTGAAGGGTCGCTGTCCAGCATCGCCGTGTTCTCCTCGTCTTCAACCTGTCCCTCCGGCTCAACGAATTGCAGTCCGGTGATCTGATCCTTGTGTCCTCTCAGCTTGAACTGGCCGACCTCTGCCACGAGATCCCAGATAATGACATCCGTGTCCCGTGAGCCACTGGCCAATCGCACGCCTGACTTGTCGAACGCCAGTGTCGTAATCGCTGACTTGTGTCCGTTGAAGTTGACAATCACAGTGGCGATCTTGCTATCCCATAACCGAATGCTTCCATCTTCGTATCCGACCGCGAAAATGTCTGTGTCGACTTTGCTCTGCACGATCGCAGTGACGGGTACCGTGTTCCGTTCGTCTCGCCACCTGCTGAGAAGCTCGCCCTTCTTAATATCCCAGCACAAGACATCCTCGTTCGCGGCTACGATTGCCTGGCCGGCGCCGTTGCCAGCTCTGCCTTGGGGAGCCCAGGCGAGGTTTGATGTGTTGGATGCGACAACGCCGAAAGACTTGCTGTGCTCGTATTTTCTGTAGGAAAACAATAGTTAGATACACTCGAAAAGCCCGCAAGATCTAGAAAACTTTACAAGTATGATTTGACCATTTTGGCGGATTTCCTAGCGCCCAAAAAGCCCTTTGTCAATGGCTCCTTGCAATGCGACGAAGTAAACCAATCGTCAAAATCTCGAACCTCCCACCTTCCAATCTTTCAAAAAGTTTCCCTCACCTTATCGATAAGACCAGAAGAAAAGTGGAGAATACCGGTAGTGCCGAAGTATATCCGCAATCGACGGTCCCGCATGAGCATCACAGCCACCTCACAGAAGCTCCGACAGCGACCTCCACGTCAGGCGGGCCCCACCACGAGGTATCATCAGCAATCAACGACGCAACAACATCACAGGAGACATACGGACAATTGGTCGCAGACAAAATGCTTCTCCTAGACTATCAGAATGTGCTGATTCAATCGGTTCTCACCGAGAGGTTCTCTGGGTACGTCGATTAGAACATTGTGGCCAATGTTCGGCTAGCTTGCTAACTCCCAAGGAAGTGCCCCTCCTGCGCACATCGACCAGACCGTCTCCGATTTCGACGGCGTTATCTACCACATCTCGACCCCCGAGACGAAGACCAAGATCCAGCTTTCGATTCAAATAAGGTGCTACAAGGACTTGGTCAAGTACGGCGCAGAGCAGGTGCTGCAGAGAGAATATGGCCAGTATGTGGTGCCGCCGGAACCCGGATACGACTTCTCGGTATTGATCGATCTGGAGAACCTCCCGGAGGAGAAGGGTCAGTTATATCACAGTGATACCGGGTGATTTTTGGGCTGACGGAACACGCAGAGGAAAAGGATGCGCTGATCATGAAGATGGCGCTGCTGAAGCGCAACGCCATGGCTGCACCTTTCGAGGCTGCTTACGAGGAGCACTACAAGCTGAAGGAGGAGGCATCCAAGTACACATCTGAGGAAGCCCCGCAGGGTGTCCGCGAGGGCGGCGAGGTTATGGCTATCCATTACCGTGAGGAGGAGGCTATCTACGTCAAGGCCAGCCACGACCGTGTCACAGTTATCTTTAGCACGATCTTCCGTGAAGAGACGGATCGTGTCTTTGGCAAGATCTTCATCCAAGAATTCGTCGACGCCCGTCGACGAGCTATCCAGAACGCTCCCCAGGTGCTCTTCAGGAACGACCCCCCGCTGGAGCTCCAGGGAGTCCCTGGTGTCAGAGATACTGGGACCGGCGAGATCGGATACGTTACCTTTGGTGAGTCTTTCTATCTACAAAGCTTTGCTGGGTTGGCGTTAATGTCTCTTGACAGTCCTTTTCCCTCGTCACCTCACACCACAGAGAATGCCCGACTGCATCTCCCACATCCAGACTTTCCGCGACTACTTCCACTACCACATTAAGGCATCGAAGGCGTACATTCACTCGCGAATGCGCAAGAGAACTGCCGACTTCCTCCAAGGTATGATGCAGTTGACCTTTGCGGTGGACGTTTTGACTAATGCTACGCAGTTCTTCGCCGCGCAAGGCCCGATGCTGAAGAGAAGGAACGGAAGACGGCGAGCGGTCGCACTTTCAAGGTCCAGGGAGCGTAGGTTTAGTGCGCATTCACCACGTCCCCCGGTATTTGCAGCACACGAATCGGTCAATGGCACTCGCTGGAAAGTGCCCTTGAGGATATGTCCAGAGCGGAGACGTATCGAAGCCGTATAAGCAAATGCGATGCTATGAGTTCCCGCTCAGAAGTCATAGCTGATAGCGATAACAAGCTGAAAGGCTTTTTGTTAGTAGAAGAAGAAAAAAGACCTTCATGACCACTCAGCCCTGCAGACTTACATCCTCCTGATGAAAACCGGAAGCAGCTTGGCAGTAATGAAATCGGGAGCAATTCTGAGCTCTTGGGCCAATCAGAGGTCACTGTGGTGTGGACGGGCCTTTTCGAGGTAGTATGATGAGACGGAGATGGAGAAACCTTTTGCAGATGATGCGCGAAGTGCAGACGGGGGCACCGTGGGGTGGAGAGATGGTGACGGCGTTTTGACGGCGGTGCATCCATGGAACGTGAATGGCGGCGGTTGCTTGATGTGCCGGATCGACGTCTCCACCCAACGCTAACACCGGCGTCCGATGGAAGGAGTTCCCACCGCGGTCTTCCAAGTGCCAAGTGCCTACCACCCTACCTGGTTTGCATACGAATGGAGAACAGGCTGATCCGTGTACGCAGTATGTCGTACATGAATGCATTGTTGACGGCCAAACCGGGATTGTTCATGTGAACAATCATGAGTCGGGAATTAAAGTAGGCCATGTACGAAGAGGAATATGCCATATACATGAAGTTTGTTCAAGGCTTTCCTGCTGACCCGTCCGATGTGTGAATGCTGCCATGGCAAGGAAATCGAAGTGTTCGAACTAGGTATCCGTACCTTTTTCGTATAGAGAAGCTGATGTTTGGATGAACCAAGGGGGGCATGTAAGTTGTAACATATGGTACCCCTTATCTGTGTCCGTACATAAATGGTGTGGCTTTTGGCATAATAGCCTACACATCGCCGCTAGAGATAATAATATTGGCTCTTCTCAACCAAGCACACAAGTTCGCATAAAGCTGTTTCCTATCGTAGGGATGAAATTGAGTTGTTTCGTTTGTGTGGCGAAGTTTTCTTTGGATTGTGTATTCGTAATTCATCGCATGACGGAGTATCCGTAGATGGTGGGCTTTCGGGCATTGCACACACGAACGGTCGGGTGGAATAAAGTGGTTTTTTGAGAGGACTTGATAAAGTGGACGGGCAGACGCGCTAGAGAGCGTTCGTTCTTTCTCCTTTTTTCCCCCTCCCGAGTCCTCCAATTGGTTTCGCGATTCGCGTTGGAACTTATCCTCCACTTTGAGCACTGCCCGCTGCATTCCTTGGTTTCCCGTGCCCTGCTTTAATCGGGCCGTGGTAAACATCTATCTGGGAAAGAGCGTGGGTAATATTTCCAGAATCCCTATGCCTTTAACAAATCGTCCCAGAGAAGCGGTACGTCGTGTCAGTGGATGAAGATGCTGAGCCAGCCAAATGCATCATGAACAAATGTGTATGCACCTTTACCTATGCAGAAGAGGTTGCGATGAGAGTTCCATTTATTGGCGAGTAGACGCCGCAGGCCGGGATATCCGCCCACCGAGGATGGGCTGTGAGACCAACTGGGTTTGAAGATGGGGCGCCGCGAGCCCCTCGTCACGGTCACCTCGGACGACACTGCAAACTGGAGCGACGAGGGAGTGTAGGGTTCTTGATCCATGCCGCGACGCCGGATCCCTCCTTTCGTCATTCTCTATTACTAGCTGAAATCGGCGGGAGGAAGAGGGCGGCCAAGCAGTCTTTCTCTCCCGCGGCTCCGGGGGATAATTTATTCGGTGAGAGTTTGTAGGTACGGATATGGATAGATACTCTGCCTCCCCCTTCCAGGACATGACCCCTTAAAACTCTCACAAGGTTATCCCATGCATACCATGGGCGGCGAAGTGCGAAGTATTCTTTCTGTTGGACGCAACCACTGACTGGAGGTGACAAGCCCCCGGGTCTGCCATCGCATCGCATCTTTTTTAGCTGAGGTGTGCACGGGGACATGAATGCAAGGAACGGCCGGCGCGGAAAGGAGGGTTGAGACGGATGTGATGAGATGATTGGGGGTGCTGTAGCCTGTAAGGTACGGAGTAGGTAGCCTGTCTGTGGGAGAACCCCACGTCGCGAGTTGGAAAGAAGGGCGGTGCATCAGTGGTCTGCACTTTGCCTTCGTACCTGACGCTAATAAGTCAAGTACGGAACAACGGAATCAGTCGAGTTTTACTCGTACCTGCCTGCAAATGCGAATGCAACTCGAGATGGGCCAGTCAGAGCACTTTGTCGCATCCAAAGCACGCACCTTGAGCAACTTTCCTCTGAGCAGTGGAACCTCCTGTGTCCCGCCTGAGTCCTGAATCCTGAGTGGCCGGATCTTCAAGCTTAGGTAAGGGACCATGGGTACCTTATGTTCTCCCTCCCCCCACCTGCCGTCCGTCATCTGCCCGCCCGGGCAAGATGTGGCCCCCGTCTGGTCTCTGGCAGACTCCATGGCATGGCACTCTGCTGTATCGGGCGTAGCGGCAGCTGGGAACTGCTGCAGGAACTCAGGAAGAACGTGCGTTGCTTGGGGCCTGGACCGCGGGCGGCCGTCAGAACAGCCAGATACGCCAGACTTCAAGGTCAATCATGCCCCAGATCTGGAATAGGGAGGCTGGAAAGGAGGGAGGGCCTTCTCTACGGAGTACTGCGGCAGACTCTCCCTCTCAACGTATTGGGGCGTCCCGAGCCTGTGGATAAGATATCTTGATGGATTTCAATGAGCCGTGTTTGATCCTTTTCTAGATAGTCACGGGCCCTTTTTTTGGGAAACGGGGAATACTCTTCCTCGTGACATGTTTGGAAAGGGAGGATGAACATCCACGAAAATATCTACACACCTTCCATACTCCGTACTCACCTAGCATATCGCCGTGTTCTAAATCCAGGCCTTGCTGCTCCGTACAAGGCTTGCCGGTTCTTTTTGTGGCCTGCCGCCGATACCACGACACACTGGACGACGCCGAGGCCCCCCCCCCCGGGCATTCTCGACATCAACCCCTGCCTGCTACGAGCGCTTGGAGGAGCAAAGTGGTAACGTGAAAGTGGCTCCTCCCAATTGTGACCTGCAGCCTGCAGGATTGTGACTGAGGCACTTTCCTCCTCGTTGGTTGCTGTTGCGTTGCTCCTCTTCCTCTACCTCTCTTTTCGACGTTTGCACTCCACGAGCCCTCTCTACCTCATTCGCCCCGAGATTTCCTTCGCGGAACGTCTCTGTCGCTCATTTATCAGTCCTCTTCCCTTTCATGGATAGCCAGTTTCGACGTCAATCCCGCAGATTCAACATAATATCGTACCCTGCCGACGCCTTATCCGGACCGTTTTGCCATCTAGCCGGCCTTACTGCGCTCGGCCGGACAATCACGACAAACAAGCAGCACGAGGGCAAAAAAGAAAGAAAAAAAAGCCAAGACAACGCGCAGGCGTAGCGGCTTCCAGGGACCATACGACACAGTATCCGTAAATCCTCGCCTGGAGCAGTGCAGAGTACGAATACACAGTAGACGATAGCAGGAGGACGCCAAAGAACAATTCGAATCGAATAGTAGTGCCATTGGATCAAGGGGAGAGAGAAATCGACATCTGAAAGCTCTCCAAAAACCTCCCGAGATTGGGGACAGCGCTGGTCGTCCCTCTCAGCAGCATTCATTGGTCGATGTTCGACTAGAGCCATTTCTCCTCAAGACTTTAGTTCCCGTGGCGTCACCGGCTTTTCCAACGATCGCCCTCTCTACTCCTGATAGCTTACCTTAGCTTGCAGAGTCAGGTAATCCGTACGGGATACACTACCTGCGGATACTTCGTACCTGACCGACCTGGCACAGACATCTCGTGTTACGGCAAGAGGCGACACTACAGGCTACAGCGAGACATTCCGGCGGTCCCCTACGGTTTGCAAACACACAAGACAAGCACCTCATCAATCCACGTTGATAACGTAGTACACTCATTTCTCGAAGCTTTCGCGCGCGACTCTTTCCAATTCCACCTCTGGGAACCTACACCGAATCAGATTCCCGCCGATTTCCCGTCTCTATCTCTTTCTCACTCTCCTACGCTGCAACTCGCACACAGTCACACTCACTCCAACCATTCACCTCTCTTTAGGGCACCTCACAATCATTCATTCTTTCCTCCTTTCTTATTCGACATTCGGGTAGAATTTTCTTCTTCGCCGAGACGCCAGCCGACGACCGACACAAAACGGTTCACTTGGTCTTTCATCAATATCTTCTGCCTCATTTCACGTTTGGCGGCCTTGCTATCGTCAAGCTTACCCCAAGCCAGTCTTAAATCGACTGCCAATCCATCCGAGCGACAATCAGCAGCCGTGGAGCCGTGGCCGCGACGTACCGCTTCACCCACAAAAAAAAAGTGTCAGTGCTTTTGATAGGAGGTAAGTGCAACCTAAAGTCACCACCAATTTCCCTGGCGCAGGTACGGGCAGGTACAAGTCTGCAAAGTGGGGCACGCACCTTCCATTCCAGGTCCCATCTCGTCTGGCGACTCAGCCTCTCTCCTTCCCTCTGGGCTCTGCGTCTGCGTCTCCGTCTGTGTCTGTGGTTTGTCTGCCTCTCCACCAACAAACAACAAAACACTGCGGTTGACAAAGAGCAGGGGGAAGAATAGGAAGCGCAGCTCACCACATCGTCGTCGCCGTCAAATGGCCACAACTCAGTTCTAACCATTTTTCTTGTCCGACGATAGAATTGGGCGACCAACTAGTCTCTGATTTCTTTTCCTTCTCTACCTCCGACACCAGACGCTCGTTTTAACCCCCCCGATTATTCGCTAAATCCTCACCTTCCGACTCGACTCGACCCGATTCGACTCCTTCTCTCCGTTTAATTTCGCACCACCGGTTTTTGACGCGCCTCCGAACTCGCGACCGATCAAACGAAGCAGCAGACAGCATTCTTTTCATGGCCAGCATCCAAAATTAGATTTCTGCAAATGCGACGCGATATCCACTCTGATTCCCGAGCATCAAAAATTCTCGATACAATAGCTTCGATACCCAGCATTCACAGCACCCACTCTACTTACCTCTTGCCGACTGAACAGCAATAGCGATGCGTTTAGCTCTCGGTAAGCGCCCTTCGGCGCGCCGGAGTAAGTGGGCAAATCTTCTTGCAGTGGCTGCTCTCGCACCTTCCTCGGTGGCAGCAATCCAGTTCACCTCAGTCTCCGATGCAAACCTCGACCTTTCTCAGCTTGGCAGAATTGGTGTGGCGGGCGACTTCAACGGCATCTCCCTCTACCAGTTTGAGGAGCAGAATGAGAAGCCTTACAGCACAAACGGAAGCGAGTCATTGCTTTCTCAGCTGCCCAATGGCGCCTTTGCGTCGCTCATCTCGACTGATGCTTCAATTCACGACATGTGCACATTCACGCTCGACAATGGAACGATGCAGGGAGTGGTAATTGGCGGTAATTTTACGAGCTTGGATGGCACTCAGTCTCAAGGCATTGCCTTGTTCAACCCTAACACCTCCCAGATCACACCTCTGGCCGGTTTGTCAGGTCAGGTTAACGCTCTTCTCTGCGACCAAGCTGCAAACACCGTTTACGTTGGAGGCAACTTCCGCGGTGCCAACTCGACAAACGCAATCGCCTGGTATGGCACTGATGGATGGACTAACCTTCCTTTCGCTGGTTTCAACGGTCCTGTTTCGTCCATCACCAAGGCTTCCAACGGCCACATCGTCTTTGGCGGTAGCTTCACTGGACTCGGCAACACTAGCACTCCCAGTACCCCGGATGGACAGGTAATCAACCTCTCAAGCGCCAACATCACATCGGCCTCGAGCACCTCCACGTCTGGCTTCAGCGACCCTCGCAACATCATCTGCAAGACAGACGGAACCGACGGCTCTGGCAACACTTGGCTGCTCCGCGACAACTCTGCTGGTTTCTGGCAGGCAAGTTTCGGCTTCGGTTTCCAGCCGACCAAGATGCGGCTCTGGAACACCCACCAGGATGGTAGAGGAACCAAGACATTCCGTTTCACTGCTCTCCCTCTGGGCGGTATCTTGAACATGACCTACGTGGACCCTGCAACTGGTCAGAACGCTACATGCACTAGCGAGTGCCCGCTCAGCAACAACTCAACCCTCAAGTTCCAGGACTTCCACTTTGTCAACCTCGTCGGAATGAACTCATTCAGAATCGATATTTCCGAATTTTACGGATCTGGCGGTGGTCTCAACGGCATTCAACTTTTCGAGGACGACATCAATTCTTACGCCATCAACGACTTTAACTCCCCGGCCTGCGCAGACAGTGACACCAAGTCATCTGCCACCACCACCGGCCCTTGGTCGACATCTCCTTCTCTGCAGAGCAGCTCTCAGTACTTGACTGCCAAGCTTTCCGGAACCATCAGCGCAAGCTCTGCTACGGTTACCTTTCTCCCCGATCTCAAGGAGTCTGGCAACTATTCTGTCAACCTGTACACGCCCGGCTGCCTGCAGGACGGTACCTGCCTGACCCGAGCACAGGTGAACGTTACGGGCATCATGTCGTCCACTGGTAGCAACAAGTTTTCTACGTCTCTCTACCAGACTAACAACTTTGACAAATACGACCAGATCTACTTTGGATACATCGAGGCCAGCTCCGCAGACGGCTTCCGACCCAGCGTCACCCTGGCTCCTTTGGCTGGGCAGAGCATCGATGAAATGACCATTGTCGCTCAGCGCGTTGGTTTCACCCTCATCAACTCCACAGGCGGCCTGAATGGCCTATTCGACTTCGATCCTTCGTCTGCCACTGTCAACACGGATTTCAAGAGCTCCAAGATCAACCAGCTCGGGTCCTCATTCTCCTCAGGATCTGCAGTCACTAGCTTGACAACTGCTGGTGATTTGGTCATCGTTGGAGGCAACTTCACGTCATCCACTGCCCGCAACGTCATTGGTATCAACACTGCAAGCGAGGCTACAATGGCTCTCGACGGCGGTCTCAACGGCGAAGTGAAGGCGATGGAACTGAACGGCACCCAGCTTTACGTCGGTGGTGTCTTCTCTAACACACTTGACAATGCCGTCACAGGTCTCAACAATGTCGGCGTATACGACACCTCCGCCAACACGTGGACTGCGCTTGGTGCAGGCGTGAACGGCGAAGTTTCCCATGTTGTCCCAATGCTGGTCAACATTACAAGTGAGAGTGACGCAGAGTCGGTTGTTACATTCACCGGCGATTTCAGCGAGATCAACGCGTTTGGCGACAACTCGGCTATTCAGGCCTCGGGCTTCGCCGTCTGGGTGCCCTCCCAGAAGAACTGGCTGCAGAACCTCAACGGCCCCGTCCCGGCCTTGAATGGAATCCTGACCACTGGAATCCTTGATCTTCCCGGAGGAGGATCTCTCTACGCGGGATCGATGACCTCGGCCACTATTAGCGCCAATGGTGCCGTCACCCTCGCTGAGAAGTTTGGCCAATTTCCGGTCAAGTTCAAGTCATCTTCCACGACTTCAAGCACAGTCAGCAAACGCGATTCTCTTGCTAGCGGCAATATCACGGGTGTGGTCACTGGCGCATTCTACACTGGTAACAACCGCAACATTACCATCCTAGGCGGCCACTTCACGGCTGTGGGCACCAACGGCAGTTCCGCCAACAACCTGGTGCTCATTGACGGGTCAAACTCGAACTCGATCACCGGCCTTGGCTCCCAGATTGAAGACAACTCAACCTTCCTTGCCCTCGCGGTTACTGGTGATCTTCTCTTTGCCGGCGGCAGCGTCCGTGGTAGCGTCAACAACAATGACGTGCGCGGTATCATTTCCCTGAACCTCCAAACCGCCACCTTCAACAGCACGCAACCTCCCGGCATCAGCGGTGGGAACGCGACTGTCACATCCATCGAGGTCCGCCCCGATTCTGGTGATGTCTATGTTGCTGGCTCTTTCGAGTCAGCTGGAGCCCTTGGCTGCCCAGGTGTCTGCTACTATGACACATCTCTGGCAGGTTGGAACCGC